TCAATTTGTACGCCTCTTCCGTGGATCAAAAACTGTGTTGAACAGCCCTCTTAAACTACAGTTTTGTGAACTGTAAAAAGAGCACCTTGCATACTCACAAATGCATCCATTTAAAAGGATTTGGGCAGCTGATGTGGAGGAACACCACCTTGATATAGGGCAAGTTCCCCTCCAAGCCAACCACCATCCTAACTTAGAAATATATCCCCTTCACTGTCGCTCGATCGAAGCCCTGGAACTCCCTGCTAACGGTATTGTGGGCAAAACACGGACGACAACTGTTCTAGAAGGCGCCACCTTCTCAAGGGGAGCAACTAGGGGCGGGCAATAAATGCTGGGGCCGGCCAGCGACATCCACGTTCCAGGAGTGAGTAAATAAAAAAAAACACTGCAGTCTTTCGTTGCGGTACCCCATTAATCACGAGGTGATTAAGCATACCTGAGACTAAAATCAGTCATCAACTCCAAACTGGTATTTGCATCGCATTCCAGAGATGTTATTACACATCTCTGGTCCGGGTGTGACTTTAGCACGGCCCTCCTGAACCAAAAATGGGGACATTACCACTGCGCCGTAAGACACCCTCCAACAGTTACATTCTGCCTTCGTAAGAATGTCCCCTTTATCCCATCGCTCTGTATGTTATTTTGACAGAGTTAATATGAGACGAAGGTCAGCAGGATTGAATACTACAGTTAACATGAGATCAGACGTGATGTTATTGAACGGTGGAGACATTAAATGGGCCGAATGGCCGTCAGCTTCTCCGCTTCCCCATTAGATTGTGAGAGAGCCGGTGGGAGGCAGTTATTAACACGACCTGGGAATGAGCTCCATTGGAGCTTCATCAACGTCCAACGCCCCAGCCTGAAACGTTCTCTGCCCTTTCCCCCACAGCCCCCAGTTGCTTTGCTCAAACTGGGAGAAAAGGGAATTAGGGAAATGACCCATTGATATTTGTTTCTGGGAATCAGTGGGCAAAGCAGCGCATGCGCACTGCTGGCCCTACCGCGCCCCCCACCAGACCCACCCCGCCAAAGCCGCTCGTTGCTGATGAGAGGAGCGCATGCGTGAGTCCCTCTCAAGCGCTGCCTTTGAGGAGCATTTACTCAGTGAGTGGAAGAGGTTTATTTGAAACAGACGGCAATGAAGAGATCAGCGCCCAGGGAAGCGAGGGAACAGCAGGCTTCTTCCTGCAGCACATCGAAATGTGAGCCTGGGACACAGAGGAGGGCTCCGAGACCGGCATTGATTCGGGCTCAGTTCAGGGAGAACCGGGGGCTGTTTGTAAGAGGCCGAGCGGAGCAGGAACAGGTCCCGGAACTTGGAGTGAGCGGCCTGTTGGGGAAGAGAGAGGTCTTTCTCGGGCTGTGTGTGGGCCTGCTGAGGGAGACACAGCGGCAAG